GAGTGGCTGGTGGGAATCGCTGGCTGGTGGTGTAATGTGGCTGGTAGGAGTGGTGGCAGGCGAGGAGCGGTGACCAGCGGCAGCAGGCGAGGAGTGGCAGCAGGTGTGCAGGTGAGGAGCAGCAACCAGCGGCGTGGCATGGAGTGGAGGCAGGCGACCAGCGGAGTGTCCAGTGGCATGGGACAAGACAGTTGGTGGAGCATGGCGGAGTGTCGTAAGGTGCCCTCTATCTATTCCCCTCCCCCCCCATTTCTACCCAGGTTGGGAGGTGAAACCCTGTGGGTGAACTTTGAGACTCTGGGTGGCATGGACCAGGGACAGAGACTTTTGGGATGTCGGACTCTTTGGACTTCAGGTGATACTTGACTGGGGGGGAGGGCTTAGCTCATGTTTGGGTTATGAACTCTGTTTGTGATGATTTCCCCAAGTTAATGCCGTATGACTTCTCTCTCTGTTTCATTAAATGTTTCTTTCCTACACTCAGACTCAGTGCTTGCGAGTGGGGAAGCATTGCCTCTCAGAGGCGCCCAAGGGTGCGTGAATTTCCCAGATTACTGGGTGAGGGCTTGAGCCGGTTCTGTGTGAGATGGACCCCAAGATATTGAACCCAGCCCTGGTTACTGCCAGGCCTACCCGGCAGAAGGGTTACATACATATAACAATTACATTGATCTACATAAGTGAATTGACCTGAACACACTCTAGCATGATCTAGTCAGTCAGTATCACACAACAGGTGTTTTAGTAAAGCAAAGGTTGTGTGCCAAAAACAGCACCAATAAACAACCTCAACACAAATATACTTTTGCATTAGAATCCAAATGATGAGCTCAATCAACTGCCCAAACTTTTAGCCTCAGCTAGAACTGCCATATTTTGATTAGTTTGGGATCATTCCAAGTAATTTCTCGTCGTTTCCACTGAAAGTAAGAAATTGACTTATGAAGGCTCAAAAGTTGACCTGGGCTCTTTCAAAGTTTAACAAACTTTAGAAACTATTTTAGTAAACTTAGACAGAAATTTGGGTGATAACTTTTTGCTTCGGTCTCATTACAAACCCTTTGTATCACTCTTTTATTATCCTAAATTCCCTCCATCCTAAAAACTTCTCAAGGAGAACTGGTTTTTGCATGGTGGACACATTTCAATGTCTTCCCTCCTCAACCCAAGACAATGTTCTGTTATATATAAATAGTACCATGCTCATCTCCATAGTACCTGAGTACCATCCAGTAGTGCATTGAAGAATGTGACTAGCATTCATTACATGGGGTATGTTTTCTCATCCTCTCCCCAAAAGAAGTATGTGCAATACTGTCTCCTTTTTTTAACATATGCCTGTTAGGTGTATATTTGTTAGGCAAGGTCAAAGATACCCTTCCACAGTATGTTTACTTCCTCACTGAAAGCAAAATATTGGTGTCAGACTTGCATGATTTCCAATATGTAGCAAATTTTCATTCTAATTCAGGTTAAATGTAAGCAAGTCAATGTTTGCCATGAGCCAGCTCTGATTGAAATCAACTGGCTCAACCTCTGTTCAAATTGTCAGGCAGTATTAAGTCGCAGGGATAATCAGGGAGGAAAAGATAATAAAATTACTCTGATCAAACCTCTGTTCTGAAACCAGCACTTTAAATCCTTCTAGTTTATTTCTTTATTTCAAAATTTCCCTCAATTCCTTTTTTTTAAACAAACACCCTTTACTTATGACTGTGAAAAAATTGCAGAGTGCAGACATGAACCCTTCAATTATTCAGATGATGAGTAGACAGACTTTAATCAGATGTACATAAATTTCATTTTGATTTAATAGAGAATTATAGTAGTACACCAATTTGAGGATGATGGAATGAAACATGCGGTATATTTGACATAGATGTGTCAAATTATTCAGATAATTTCAATCAGTGAGGAGAATTTTTGCAGTCTACTGTTTCATGAACATTGGGAATCCTTTTGTATCTTCTGTTCTAAGATTAAACTGGATTGCACCTGTAGACTCCCTGTCATTCATTTACCTGCTGATCCTTTTGCCTTGGAACATGTGTGATCTGCTACATATGTGTTGTTTAAACCTTCTGCCTCAAACATTTTGCCATCTGGATTAGCTATTATAAGATGATGTCGCATGAAGCAGTTTCCCATAATATAGATATGGAAAAATCATGATGCAAAGATCTTGGCATGGCTATTCACAGCTAAAGATGGCCTTTATTTAAAATAGTGTCTGGTTATGTGTTATACAGCTGGTCTTTTTAGGGCCAAGTCTATACTGGCAAGTTACTGCGCAGTAAATCAGCCCCCAGTGCTGTCACTTACACTGTGTCCACGCGGGCAAGGCATTGAGCGCGCACGAACTCTGCAGTTAGCGACCTCTAGGAAAACCACCTCCGTGAGAAGCGTAAAGCATGCTGCATTCTGGATAGAGCGCCGGGGTACCAGTGTGAACATCCAGTACTGGTGCGCTGGGGTATCAGAACTGCATCCTGAGTGGCCTCTGGAACCCTACTCACAATGCCTGTTCTGGCCTCTCTGGTCAGTGTTTGATTTCCACTGCCCTGCTCGGGTGACCAACGAAGTGACCAAGACCCACTCCTGTCGTCTTTTTGAAACTTTAGGGCTCGGGGGACATCCAGCAATGGACCAAGGCAGGAGGAGGAAGTTGTGGCCGAGTGTGCTGAGGCAGAGAGGGCCCAGAACAAGAGGAGGACTCGACATCTATAGAGGCTTGCAGCCAGCAGCTGACTTGTATCCCCAAAGAGCCACCCGCAGTCCTCGGCCAAACTCTCCTATTAATATGACAATAGTCTTTCTTTTCTACTCTAAATATGCTATATAATTTATCAGCATGAATATCCTATACCATATAGTTACCCCACTATTAAAATTAATAGATTGTGTGGGAATTTCTCTAATGTCTGTGTAGTGAACGGGGGGGAGGACGCTCACTGACCCTGAGGGGGGAAGAACCCTTCTCTAAGCCTAGATGGTCCCAGTCCAGTCCTGCCCCTTTAACTCCCCAGAAGCCAAGGGATGGGGTATAAAAGCACAGCTCAGAAGCTCAGTAAGGCCCCAGCTGCCGGATGAAGCAGAGGCCTGCCCTAAGCTCCCAAGCCAGGAGGGTCCTGAGGACCTTGCAGAGGCTGAGGGCTGGCCCAGTGTAGGGGTTAATTGTAGAAGAATTGTGTACGTGCCAAGTATAGGGGTGGTAAGGCATACATTCTCTTCCCCCCCCCCCTTTCCCCTATGTCTGATGAGCCAGAAGCAAGCCTCTAGGAACATACTCCATTTAAGATAAGCAATGGTGCCAGTGTAGCCAAAACAAGTTAGAGATAAGGGCCGGAATGCATATCAATCTTGTTTGACCTTGTTTACATGATCAGTACATTTGGGTAAAGGACAAGTAGTACCTGATCGATAGTTAACAGCTAAACCATACATTAGCAAACATTAAGTAACCCCCAGAAATTTCCAAACTGCAAAACAAGGTGAAATCATGGTATATAAGCTGCACAACAGTTATGCACTTTGGACCTCACTGATGGACTCTGGTAGCGGTGCCTCGGAAGCCTAGATGACCTCCCACTCGTCCGCAGCTGAAATGGGGTTCCCAGCTTGCAGAAGGGACATCAGACGCTACTTTTCCTATCATGTTGTTCTTTTAGTTAAGGGGTACAGCTGAAAACTGTCAGGAAATAAACTGCTTGTGTTTGACAAATACTGGTGAAATGTGTTTTGTACTTAGAGGGTACGTCTAAACTACATGCCTCTGTCGGCAGAGGCATGTAGATTTGTTTGTTCAGCAAAGGTAAATGAAGCCGCGATTTAAATGATCGCAGCTTCATTTACATGGCTGCCGCACTGAGGCGACAAACAGCTGATCAGCTGTTTGTCGCCTCAGTGCGGCAGCCATGTAAATGAAGCTGCGATCATTTAAATCGCGGCTTCATTTACCTTTGCTGAACAAACAAATCTACATGCCTCTGTCGACAGAGGCATGTAGATTTGTTTGTTCAGCAAAGGTAAATGAAGCCGCGATTTAAATGATCGCAGCTTCATTTACATGGCTGCCGCACTGAGGCGACAAACAGCTGATCAGCTGTTTGTCGCCTCAGTGCGGCAGCCATGTAAATGAAGCTGCGATCATTTAAATCGCGGCTTCATTTGCCTTTGCTGATCTGTCTAATCTACATGCCTTTGCCAACAGAGGCATGTAGTCTAGACACAGCCAGAGAATCCAGTGTTGGACCTGAGACTTACTCTTGCTGGCAACACCCAGATTACCAGGCCCCTGCTCTGAAGAGGAGACCTTCTTTACCCTGCCAAAGGGTGCAGACTGTGATGATCCCAAGAGCTGGCAGACAAACAGGTAAATGCCAAAGGGGAATTAGGAAATGGCCTGGGGAAGACGACTACTGTCAGACTGATCTTACAGAATTTTAGAGTGTGTCAGCGTGTTGCGGGCCGGATCCCTGCTGACTCCAGTGGGAGCCAAGGCTGCCACTGTTAGGGCCCTGGGCCAGGATATGGTGGAGTAGGGAGGGCCCACATCTCCACTGCTATTCCACATACCAGGTGGCTGTCTATCCCTCTCCTCTTTTGCCTGGGGCACTGCATTTGTGTTGCTGTCCCACCCTGAACCAGACCTTAGCCTTATTAACTATGGATCTGTCTGTTTACCTGCCCTACCCTGAACCAGAGCCTGGGCTTACCAGCTGCTGAACTACTATTTGTCTTTGTTTGCCAGGCCCATACTGTACTCTGGGCCAGGCGTTTAAAGGGGACCCCTGGGCATTTGTTTACAGGCCAGAGCACAGGTCTAGGGCCCAGGCCTAAACCAGCTGGCTTGCAATCTGTTTTAAGGCTATGATAGCAAGCAAATGCCTTCCAGCTTACCACTTAACGCTACTTTGTGTATATCAACTACAGGCTGATATTTAAAAGATTTTTTCTACAAATAGTCCATCCCAGTGTAATAAGAATGTTGAAAACTGTACCTCTGCCTCGTATTTCCTCTGCTTCTAGTGTGACCAAAGGAAGATTAGAAGTGAACAAAACAAACAACACAATGAATATGAGCAAACTTGAAGCCAAACTATTTATAGGATCAGATTGTTATGAAATTATCATTGTGACATCATAGAACATAAAGTCCTCCCAGTGCTTGACCTCAGACTTTATGGCCACTTTTTTATGTTACAATAGGCATTTCTTTTTAAATAGATGGGATATAAACATCCACTCAAGGTGCAGTCAAACAATGAACAGAATGTTGGGGATCATTAAGAAAGGGACAGAGAACAAGACAGAAAGTATCTATATAAATCAATGTTACACTCTCATCTAGAATACAGTGGTTGCTTCGTCTCAAAGAAAATATAATGGAAATGAAAAAGTTTCAGAAAAGGTCAACAAAAATGATTAGGGGCATGGAATGTCTTCCATATGAAGAGAAACTAATAAGACTAGGACTTTTCAGCTTTGAAAAGAGATAACTAACGGGGGGAATATGATTAAGGTCTATAAAATCATGACTGGTGTAGAGAAAGTAGATAAGGAAATGCTATTTTACTCCTCGTAACACAAGAACCAGGGGTCATCAAATGAAATTAATAGGCAGCAGGTTTAAAACAAATAAAAGGAAGTATTTCTACTCAGTCAAACTGTGCAACTCTGACAGAACGTCGTGAAGGCCAAGACAATAACAGGGTTCAATAAGAACTGGATAAATTCATACAGAATAGATCCATCAGTGCCTATTGGCCAGGATGGGTAGGGATGGCGTCCCTAACCTGTTTGTCAGAAGCTGGGAATAAGTGATGGAATAGATGACTTGAACATCACCTGTTCTGTTCATTCCCTCCAAGGCAGCTGGCACTGGCCACTGTCAGAAAACAGGGTACTGAGCTAGATGGACCTTTTGTCCAACCCAGGCTAGCCATTCTTATTGTGCTAAGTACCTCTGATGGTACATTAGGTCACCTTAGGAAAATGTACCAGTCATTTGGACATGAAAAGTCTTTTCCCAACAGGACCAAGGAACAAATACATGTGTTCTCTATTTTGGAGTTAATTGATTTTAACTCATTTTAGTCAACTTGTATTAAACCTCTTGGATTTCTGAGCTCTCTGTTGCTTCTCAATTAGATTGCATTATTTAGCACTAGACTATGTAACTGAGGTTCGCTTTAATTTTTCTGCCTTAACCAGATCAAGTAGCTATGTTGTGAATTCCCAAAGCTTAGCACCTGTCTCCTGCCCCTAAATCCATCCCTCGGGGATGCAACTCCATGCTCTAACTAAACCTCTGACTGCCAGAAGCTGGTACTGTACAACAGGGAATAAAACACTTGATTACTCTGTTCTGATCATTACCTCTACAGCATCTGGCACTTGCCATTGTTGTAAGACAGGATACTGGGCTTGATAGGCCATTGGTCTGACCCACCATGGTCATTCTTACGTAGCTACATTAGTTGATTAGATAGAGAAATGTCTACTTTACTTTCTTGGCAGTGACTATTGTGTGACTCGTTGCGAACATGACCTGAACTGAGCGAGTTTGATACTGGTGTTAAGAGATTAATCTTACTTTGTCAATGGATATGTGTGATCTGATGGAAAGTCACTATAGTTTAACCTTTTTTCTTTTTTCTTTTCTTTTCTTTTCTTTTCTTTTCTTTTCTTTTCTTTTCTTTTCTGAAATCCCCTTGACCAGGATTCTCTAAATAATATTGCACTCAAAGCTAAGCACCTTATTATAACTTTTTTCTCTACAGACATTTTCATTGGCATGGAACTATCAGTTCCAATGTGCTATGACCAACTTTTTTGCAGTTTGCATTTGAAAGGACTCTATTGCTCCAGGATCAATTAAAAGTTAGATGCTTGTTATCCAGAATGCTTTGATGTGGCTGGTCTTTGTCCATTAAACTTAATCCATTCACTAAGGGCAAGAGATATTTTTCAGAGTAAGAAAATAACCTTCAGTTGCTTTAGAGTCCCAAATCTCTGGTGGCTCTGGTTAAATGTAATGGATCACACTTTTGCACAGTTATATAAAAGATACACTTAGTTGGTTTTAACAACACATCTCAAACATAAAACTTGCATTTCTCAAAATGTTACTCAGGATGATAAAAAAGAAAAGAACCTAACTGACTTCCTGTTCTACAAAGCCATGCAGAATTCTGGTGAGTTAAGGCCAGTCAGACTTGCAAGAGATTCTGGGCACTAAGAAAAGTGAATATGATTTTACTAATTTCTAGAAAACTGGGAAAAGCTGACCTTTCTGTCTCCTTTATTCAGGGATATGAGAACCTGCAAGGCAGATATGAACCATTAAAGAAATAGGATTTCAACAGGCAGGGAAAGAACAGGAGGTATTCATATAATTAAAGACTATATCATAATGCATCAGGGTTGCACAGGAAAGCTGCTTTTTGGCCTTTCCTAGCTCTTGAATGCTTGACTTTGCAACCTTAATGTTCTGTTAAAGTGGGGATTTTTGTGTAATAATAATGCCATTGCTGTCTCTTAGCAACCATAACTGGTCTTTCAAATGAAGTATTTTTTGTTTGTTTTGGAGTAACCTAGGTTCTGTTGAATAGTATATTGTTAGTAATAACAGACATGTTTATTTAGCTAGTGGAGAATAGAAGTGACATCTGTTTACACCGACTTGTCTTGCTGTCTTTTAAATCTTCATATAGTACTAGGCTGTAAACTAGTTAGCTAAATCAGTTTGCTAATAACCTCAGTCTTTAGAAGACCATGTTAGGTTATTGGGGAGGGAGATGTATGTTTAGCCATACATGTGCACAGTTCCCACAGCAGGTCACTTTGTGTGCATGTAGGTAATTGCAATATTCCTCCTAATGATATTCCAAGTGTGTGTGTGGTGATCAACATGAGAAAAGCATGGCAATGGATACTGTGCCCTTGTTCTTGAAGTATAAAAACTGATAATATATCTGTTCCATTTACAAGCACAGTAGGACTTCGTTTATTTCTGCTCTTGCTGAGTAAGCCTGAGACACCGACCACAGGGATCATTTTCTGATAGTTAGTAAGTAATTAACTGTTTTGCTAAATTCTAAAAACCTCATTTAGCCACGATATTCTCTGGTGAAGGGGCAAAACAAATTTCATTCCAGTGGTTTTACTCACTGCTGGTGGTACTGCATACAGTAGTTCAGCAAGAACTCAGTTCTCCCTGCTTCCCCCAGGGATGTCCCCAACACCTCCCCTCTCCCAGTAACATGCAGTGTTCAGAATTTAGCCTTTGGCTGGAAATTCGACTTGAAAATGAAGCATTAATATGTATTTTAAATGCATATACAGTATATGAGAAACTTTCTGTACCTCAGAAAACATATTGACAAATATGAACAAAGACTAGCTTCCTCATCCCCATAGTGCTATTATTTATGACCATGTCGACATATTTTTTTTGGCTTTATTGAGCTACCTAATAATTTCAAAATATTATTTGTAAACAAGTTCTGAATGAGCCCTCCCCAGACAGCCACTGATAAGCCAATGATGGGTGGAAAAGCTTCAGGAGCAGACTATTTACTTCAACACATTTACTCTACCTAGATACTGCAGCCAAAGCTGTGCTGCCCAAGTAATCAGTTTAGGCTGATGTTGGGTTACAAATCACATTAGTGTTAAATGTGAGGGTCATGTTATCCTTATTGTATGAGTAAAGGCAGCAGAATGTACTTAGCCTATCTGAATGAAGGACTCTCCCTCAGTGCCTAGTCTGTGGTAGGGCTTTCCAGTGCTGAGCCTACCACCTCTAGGGTTGGTAGTTTATAGCCCTGGGTCCTCTGGACTTACTGCATCAGTTGGGAAAGTAACAAACTTGCTTGAGCCCTGGCACCTCTTTCATTGTGAATTAAGTTGAAAAAGTGAAGAACTCTCTCACCATATTCAAAAAAAATGTGCATACATGGCTGATGACGACTATTTTCATTTGTGTATTCAAGTATTAATTCAGTGCCTGTTATCCTGATCTCTGTGGTAGGCCAGTAGATGCATTCTATTTGTTCAGGTTATAGAAAACATATTAGTTGTATATGTGACATCTTAGGAGAGTAAAATGCTTCTAAATGGAACCTCAAACAGATGGCTGCTTGTGCATTTGACAGAGCTACAATCTTCTCTGGAAGATGCAGTGGAGTACAAGCCTTGCTCAGAGAAAAGTGTGACTCTAATCTCTCCCATACACACTATGGAGGCCATCTGTTCCAGCTAGTACTAGCATGTGCTGAAGAATCTTTAAAACACATTAAAAGCCATACATTGAATGGCTTTGTTTTTACTCTTTTTCAGCAAGCATCCAAAAGGACTGAACATCTTGAAAACAAATAGAAGATATACTGGAAGTGAAATGTACAATAGTCCAACCGGAGAGAACCTGGTTTTCTCATGAGCAATTCTTGGCTGGTAAATCTACTACTGTTATTACTGGTTTTTAGAAAGTATGTACCAAGATAGATCTAAGTAGTCAGGTTGGTAGACTAGTCTTATAACTAAGTTCAGAGAAGAATAATGCTATTCTCTCTCTTGTAAGTCTTTTACTGAAACCACTTGTGTCATTAAAACAATGTCAGCCAGGCATTTGCTACACCAGTAATAGATCTAGTCCAACAATAGAAAATACCCTTGGATCAATCAGAGAGATCTATTGAAAATATACTGGAAGAAGCAAAGACTTCAGTCCACAAGTTGACTAATGAAGGTTCTTATATTGACTTCTTAAAAGAAGAAGACAAAGTGTTTAAGCCAGCAGAAAAAGTACAGACTTGCATGAAAAGTCAACTTGCATTAATATCATTAATTTATTGTAAACATAATGTTCAAGGGAGGGAAATAAAATGCATTTTTTTTAAATCTCTGAAATTGATCATGTAAAGAAAGCCGGTTAAGGTGACGTCATGAGTAGACGATATCAGCAACTTCCAAGGCAAAACAGTGTTGTGTATGTTACTGGAAAGCTGGGAGTATCCCCATTTGAATGCTATCAAATAAGTTTTCCTAGCCCTGATGTGTCACAAATAAAGCTTGTCATATATATATAAATTTTTTTTTACTCCATAAGTTCCACATTTCAGTGAAAACTTTGGAACCAAACTATTTCACCCCTAAAATGAAATATGTCAATTCAGAAATGCCACTGTATTCCCTCATACTCACACCTTCCTCTGTAAGTCTCACTACAAGATCATATTACATCTTAAATGATGCACTTCCCATGACTCTTTAGGTGAATAGAAGCAGCACATGCTGGGCATCTTGTGGCTGAAGTGATATTACCTCGGCATTACTCTGGTCTTTAACTCAAACAAGTTTTATATTTCTTCATTTAAATCTCTCCTCTGGGGTGGGAGTGGAGATGAGGAGTTCAGTATGCAGACTACCCCAGAGAAAGGGACGCTCCCAGCCGTCTATCACCGCAGTAGCTTGGGGCTAGGTGAAAAACTCCTGTCCGTAGCTCTCTGAAATATGTAGTAGATAGCTGTCCCTTTCTCCACTCCTGTCCTATGCTACCCCAATGGGGCTATAGCTGCCCTGGTCCCCAACTCTGTTCCCTTACTGCCCCCATGTGGTCATTCTACATTATAAAACTGTACCTTCTACCAGACCCTCCCTTTCCATTTCATGAGAAACAATCGAATTCCAAGCACACCCCATTGTCCTGGCACAGCCAAGCCCTTACCTTGCTTTAAGATAGAAGAAGCTACATTCCAAATTTGGTGTTCCTAACTCTTACCATTTAGGAGGAGTTCTTGAACAGATGGACTCAGACAGATAGACACACATTTCTAAAATATATAGTAAGAAGATACCATCTGGCTAGGAAGTGCAACCCATAAACGCCATGAGGTAATGAAACGACAGATCACATGAGATGCTTTAGCAGCATGTCAGAATCAAAATATTTTAGGGTTTAGACATTCAATATTTTTCAATAAAAATAGACATTTATTCCACAGAAAGTGGAATTTTTCACAAAATTACGTCAGTCAAATCAATTTTCTGTCAAAAAAAAAATTCAGTTCAGATGGAAAATTTTCAGCTAGCCCTAGTTGCAGAATAGCAGACACTAAACTCAGAAGTGCAGTACTAAATATAGCCCATTCTGTATTTCTGGAACATGTAAATTAGGATGGCAATTCCACACATTTTGGAAACAAAAGGAAATGTGTGTGAGTGTGTGTTTTAAATAGCAGCTGTTATAAACTGCTCAAGAGGTTAAAATGTTAGAATATGTTCAGAGGACAGATGAATTGTTGGTAGGTGTAACCGTCACCCTAAAGGCCACCCCGAGTCTGGGTGGACAGACGTCCCAAGCTAGAGGCCTTTTCTACAGCCAACCATTTATCCACAGTGGGCTGCTCGCGATTTCGGCGTGCTTTGGGCTCACTTGGACCCGAGGGGCCGGGAAGGGGGCTCGGGCCCTCCCTCTCTCTGAGCCCTGACCCTGGGCCCTGAGACGGGGATGTTTGGTCCCTTGTCAGTGGAGGGGGTTAAGATCCCCAAACCCTCCACTCGCGGGGTTCACAGTCCCGCCCTGGGTCCCTTCTTCCCGTCCAGTTCTCAATCGGCTCCCCAGCGTGGGAATAAACTCACCCGGGGTCTTCCCTTCCGGGGGTTGTAGAGTGGCGGGGGTCCCTCAGCGTCTGGCCTCTCCGTCAGGGTGTGGGGTTCCTCCCAGGTCCAGGTGCTCTCCCTCTTCTGGCCGCGGCCCTTTTGAATATCCCGCGGGCCGGCATCTCGGACCGACGCCGATCCCGTGTCCGCGGCTCCGCCCTCCTTGGCGTCCCTGCTGACGTCACGTGGCGGCGTCGGACCGAGTCGCTGGCCGCGCCGGCACTCAGCGCCGCTTCTGGGGGTTTGGCGGGC